CCGCCGTGCAGCACTTCTGCCCCAGCTGAGCTGGCCCGAGGCCTGAATCGGCTTCCTGGGTCTCCCCGTGCCAGGCGCCTGCCCTTCGTCCGCTCCTGGGGAAGAGAGGTTGCCTTCACCAGCCCTTCGGAGTGGTCCCTTGGTCCCTCGCTGCTTCGGGTGCGCAGCCCCGTTACGACGTGCTGTAGCCAGATCCTGAGCTCCCAACTGCAAAGTCTTGGAAACCCAGAGAAGGGTCTGAGCGCGCGTTGGGACTTTTTTTGCAGGTACCTTTCCCCCTGCCCTCCGTTTCCAAAAAAAGGAGATACCCTGGGTGGGGGGTGGTTTCTCTGGGGTGGATTAGGTGGGTGGCATTGGTAACTCCAAGCGTTAGAGCGAGTATTGGCATCTCGTGGAGGGAAAAGTCCTTGCAATAAGCATGTTGTGAGGCTTTGGAAGTCACGTCTTCAGTGTTCAGAGGCGCCAGGGAGATTCTCCTTCGCAGGCTGAAGCAGCCCGGGGCTGGGGATGTGTAGGGGCCGCTGCAGGGCGGCCTCTCCCAGCGGCAGCGTATGGGCTGCAGCCGAGGGGGAGGCTTTCCATACATTTACTTAGTTTCTACCCATTATCTTGTCACTGTCCCCCTCCTCCTGCTCCGGGTGATTCTCCCCTCCTGGGGTTTCACTGCTGATGGGAATAGGATGTGCCAGTGCCCACGAAGACCCAAGTCTAGATGTCCATCCTCCTTCAGAAAACATCTGAAGTCAAGGACATACGTCCCTACGAGTAAGGGAAACAGCTTTAATTTTTTTTTTTACTTTTCCAATACTAGATGCAAACCCAAAAATAGAACAGAAAAGTTTCTTTGAAACCTCCCTCCCTCCTCTCTAGCGCGACAGCCTTTGAGTTGCTCAGGGGAGGTGTGTTGTGCATGGTCAACTCAAGGCCACCGGTTTTTAAAAGGGAGACGCCGTCCTCCCCTTCCGCCCAAGTGTTTCGAGATGAGCCTGAGCTGCCTTGGGAGTAGCTGAAGCGGGAAGATGAAGGCTGCTCTCGGGGTGCTTTTGCCATGCCTGCTGCTGCTGCTCCCCTCCGCAGCGCTTCCGAGAAAGGGGAGCACGGGGGAAAGGGATTCCCCAGCCAACCGGCCGGAGCTGAGCCTGCCGGAGGAGCTGGCACGTGAAGCCGAGAGAAAGAGAGAAAATGCAAGTTTACAGGAAAGAGCGAGACCCAGCTCGGTGGCGAGATCCCGGATCACTGCTGCCAGCCGCCTCTTTGCTAAGCCTGACCCGGGAGCCAAGTGCCTG